TCATCTTCATCTTCATCTTCATCTTCATCTTCATCTTCATCTTCATCTTCATCTTCATCTTCATCTTCATCTTCATCTTCATCTTCATCTTCATCTTCATCTTCATTTTCATCTTCATCTTTTTTCAAAACCATTTCTTTTGATACCCATATTGGGATACTTTATTTATTTTAATAAATAATTTGAATTTGATTTTCGTATATATGGCAACCCTTAAAAACACAAAAATCATATTACAAACCTACAGGTCAAGTCCTTTCATGTACATAGATCGTTAAGTCAATTCAAATCACCGAAAAAATCAGCACGTAACGACTCTCCGCCATTAGCGCAAGACTACCCCATTATTACTAAATACGAGTGATTCTTTATTCTCGAAATGTCTCGTGATTTAATAAACAAATTATGATATATTTAAAAAAATAATGGATGCGGCATTATTAAAGATTCTAAATTTTTATATATTATAAAATGTAAAATTTTGGCTAATCTGATGAATGATGAAAATTATAAAAATTTGAAATCGTTCTGGTCGAGATACAGCTACAATCTTAATAGTAACAAGTAACAAAAAAAAGGCGCTGTGAGTTATTCTCCACTAGTTATTCCAATGATGAAATCTCATTTGCAAATGCAAGGCTACTTAGCTCATGGAGTAATTGTATAGGCCTTTTATCGCCCAGATCGATTTCTGATAGCAATTTTTTTATCTCCTGCTCGTTGCCACAGAAACGCTCGATAATGCATTTTTTTCAAATTCTCTTATTTGCCAATTTCGGGTGGATTTAACCTTTATGTCAACAGAAAAATTGTACGTACGTCAACAGCAGCATACCCGGGTATGCACATACATTTTGTATGGGAAATGGCATTGTGTTGTGACGAAAATGTGAATATTTAACACATTTATTTTAATCTGTCTAAGTCTTTATTGTTATTTTCTATAAAATATGTTTACTTTAAGTATTTACTACAAGATTTGAAATATATGTTATTTTACTGTATAAATAAGTAATGAGTTTCTCAGACCACACTTTATGATCGTGGGTTTTGAATGTATATGGGCAAATCTAAAAAATAGGTACACTTTCAAACAAAAAATTTTAATTTTTAAATTTGTGAGCACACCTATGTTTTATATATCATTTTATTCGTAATCTCTTAATAAATCTATTAATATAAGTGTAATTCATATTCATCAAGTGCTTCAAAAGTTAGACGAGGAATAAGCATGAAATAGAAAACAAAAGAATAAG